TGTATGGTAATAGCTAAAAATCAATAGTGTTTATAACTCCTAGTTGGTAGAGAGGAATATTGAAATAAGAAAAAAAAAAAAAAAGTCCAAAGAAGGCAGGAGAAGAAAGGCCCAGACAAGTTGAAGAAATAAGCACACAGGAAGATGTTAGCTGAACTTCCCATTTACTAGTGATCACAACCTTTCTAAATGCAAAGGAAGCAGCAGGATCAGAAGAATTGGGGTTTTCTCCAAGAGAATAGAAAGTGAACCAAAACTCTGAGAAGAACGGTATGAGAATAGTATTCTCAAGAGAATAGTAAAATAAATAAATATAGAAATGCAAACATTTAAAATGTCATACCATTATCAAGTTAGGGTTGTATCAGAAGTGCAAGAGTCAACACTAGGAAAGTGCAATTCACCACTTTAACAAATGAAGAAAAATGCTGTTAGCGTAGGCATAAAAGCATGTAATAAACTTCACCATAGTTTTTTTAAAACTTGGCAAACTAGGAAAAGAAGGAAGCTATCAGCTAAAGGAAATCTATATGATAGAGTATTTATAGCTTACATTATTCTTAATTATGAAACATTAGAAATATCAGCATAAAATCAGAAATCAAGGAAAGTGCAATCCACCATTGAACAAGACATACTAATGTAGGTAGGTATAAAAGCAAAATACAGATGTGACGATATTCAAGAGGTGACAAATAATTAACAAAGTTTAATGGATTCACAGATATTCAAAGATCAGTTTGCATTATCAAACATGAGCAACTCCAGAAAATAATTTTTAAAGGCAATTGTGACATGTTACCTAGGAAAAAATCCAACATGAGATGAATGATAACTTCAAGGAGGATTTTTTAAACTGAACATCATTAAAGAAAACCTATTTAAGGTGGAGAATATACAATGATCATGGTTGCCGGTAGTGTCTAGACTTAGGATATCAAATCTCTCAACCTTGGAACTCAACACAATTTCAATCAAAATCCCAACAGAGCTTTACAAGCTTAATTTAAATTTTATGTCCACAGCCAAAGGATGGAAAGCAAAACACTTCTGAAGGCAGTGAATGGAGGAGGGACCTGCTGTACCAAATATCAATGCAATATTTAGAGCCCCCATCCCCACCCTTGGTACTGGAGACTGAACCCAAGGGTGCTCTACCACTGACCTACATCCCCAACATTCAGAATTTTTTTTTTTTTTTTTTTTTTTTTTTTAGACAGAATCTTGCTAAGTTGTCCAGGATGGCTTCAAACTTGTGATCCTCTTGCCTCAGCCTTCAAAGTGTATGCCACTGTGCCTGACTGATATTTAGAGGTTTAGGTGATTAAAACTTTAGGAAGGGGAGGATTTTTAAACAAAGTATATTGGACATTGAATACATTGAAACTTCACATATTTGATATTAGGTACATCGTAAAAGGAAAAAAAAGAATTTGGAAAGCATATTTGCCACTCATAACTGTCAAGTATCATTTATATATTAAGTATAATGTATGAAGTGTGTATATGTACATATTATATATAAAACTAAGAAAAAGTACCTCCCTCCAAAAGAAATGAGAAGAAATAAGATACAGTGAATGGTGTGTATGGTGAAGAGTTAATGAAATCAGAGAACTTCTTCATTTAAAGAAAAGGGAAAGTTTTCTAAGGAAGTAGCAAATATCCTGGAATATTTGTGTGCATTTTAGCAAGAAATCATAGTGAATTACACCTGGCCAAAAAATGTTCCTGAAACTGGATGCTTAGGAAAGGAGAAAGACTCAGGGATAAAAGGAATTGTTGCAAGCAACAGTTTTGCCTAAGATGATCATTTAAGGAAAAGCAAATATTCATACTTAGGAATAGATGTCTTATGCGTTAAAAGAGATTAGAATTTGAACATTTAAAAACAGCTGTCTGCAGGCATAGCGGTGCACGCCTTTAATTCCAGATATTGGGGAGGCTGGGCCAGGAGGATTATAAATTTGAGGCCAGCCTGAACAACTTAAGGAGACCCTTTCTTAAAATAAGAAAGAGCTGGGGATGTCACTCAGGTGTAGCACATTTGCCTTAGCATGCATGAGGTCCTGGGTTCAATCCTCAGCACAGGCAAAAGAAGGGAAAAAGTTTATAATATGCTTTTCTCATGATTGTTGTAAGGAGTCAATAAAAGATAGCACTTAAAGAGCTAGAAACAGTAAATGGCACAGAAAACCAGCTCAGTAAATATGAGCAATTATTGTTATTGAAAGTTCAGCAGATATAGCTATCAAGACAGTAGAAACTTCACAGTATTTACAAACATTGGAGGAGGTAGGGGAAACTCCTCATTTCAGGACTTTCACTAGTGTAGGAATGGACTTGTGTAGGGACGGAAAAATCTTCATCAAAAGCACCTTCCAGCAATTCTACCACCATCACTCCTTCAAGATGAAGTGGGGAAAAATTCCATAAAGCTTCATCATCTGAAGCGTAATTGTGGATATTTATGGACAAAGAAGGAGGCAACTTAAGAATGGGCTTGGGTGTTATTTCCCCAGGTCCTTCTGTACCGAGACCCAGCTTGTTGGTGCTCATTACTGGTTGAAACCTCTCATGCTTTCTAGACCAAGACATTGGAACATTTTGCAGGAAGAAGAAAAACAGTTGCTTAGTCATCTTCCAAGGGGATGTATGTAGCAAGGTCCCTTGAGGTTCTTTCCAGCTGTCCCTTGGGAACAATTATTGTTTGTGTTGTTTTGAACCTTATACCTCAGTGACTGGCAGGGCCAGCATAAATGATATTTGGCCAATATGAAGGAGAAATGTATTTAGAAATGAGCTCACCTAGAGCCTTCGCAGCAGGGCTGTGGAGGGGCATCTGATTCAAAGGCAAAGGGGCCTCCCATTCCAGGGAAGATTGGCATGGCCCATTCATGAGAAAGGCTGGAAACAGGAAGCTTTTCTGTGGCTCTCATCACAAAGTGATGATGACATGGTGGCTAGAAAGAAACAAGATGGGATCTATGTACTGACAGGCAGGCAGGCCGGGAATGGGCCTCATGCTTTCAAATTTGTAGCAAACAATAACCCTAGACTACAGAAGGAAGCAAAGAGATGCTGACTGTATTGACATTCTGAGTCAACTACCAATCTTGCATTCACTTGAAACCAGGGGGAAAGGGAGACATTGTGAAAATTAACCCAATATTCCTATTTTAGGTGATAACTGAACCCTGAGATATATAGCTCAGCTCCCACACAGGGTAATGATGGTTACTATCTATGAATGCCAGTCTTTGCTCTGAGAATTTTCTATGTAACATTTTATGTGATTCTCAGACAACTCAGGTAGATATTATTATCTCCATTGTACAGATGAGAAAGATGAAAGAAAAAGGGGTTATATAACCTCCCCAAGGTCACCTCAAGGATTCACAGTGGAGCAAGAATTTCTCTCCATGGGGCAGTGTGATGTGAGCACAAAGCTTCCTTTCTTACCACCCCCTACCCCATGCATCTGGCATCATTTCCATATTGAGCCATAACCAAGGGTGTATAAGGTCAATTCAGAAGAAAGTGTAGAAAGGTGACACACACTGACCATGCGCATGTGTCTACTCTCATCTGTCTCTGGTCCCCAGTCTCCTTCCCTGAAGTTCCCAAGCTCCACATTAGCTCTTAAAACCACATTGGCAGCCATCATTATTACTGCAATTTGAATTAGTGGACAACGCAATGCAGATAATTAAGTATTTGTTGAAAGTAACTTAGACTCTGGGAAATATTTTAAGATGATTTTGCTAGGAAGAAAACAGAAGAGACAAAATGAGGAGAGATTGGAGTCTGTTTTGTGTTGTTTTGCTTTTACAGAAAGGAAGACACAATATTTGGGATATTGTTTTGAGAAAGATAAATATTGGGAAATTGGAAAACTGGTGTTTTTGGTATTGAAATAAGCTTGACATGGTTCTTGATTCCATGTGATGTGATTAAAGAAAGAGTCCTGGCCAGGAGCCTAACTCTGGATTCAAGAAAAAGGTTTGCCATTGTGAGCCATAATCCTTGACCAATTATTTATTCATTCATTCAACAAAAATTGCTGAACATCAGCTATGGGCCTGTGTGGCTCTAAATGCTGCAGATGCATTGGTAAATAATCCAAACCTAATCACTACCCTCAAGGAAATGTGCAGTGTAGGATGGGGCCAGCAGGCTTTTCCTGCAAAGGGATAGCTAATCAATATTTAAAGGTTCTGCAGGTCAGATGGTCTCTGTCGCAAATAACTCTACTGATACAGTGCAAAGGTGGCTGTACACAATACAGAAATACAGGGTATGGCTGTGTTCCAGTAACCATTAACTTTTTTAAAAAGTAAAGAGGTAGTAGAGCCAACTTGGCAGGCAAGTTGTAGTTTGCCAATCCCTGGTATACAAGAAAAAAAACAGATTCAAGTCAAATATTTATGTATATGATACCACGTCCAAAGTCCCTGTGGCAAGAAGACACATCAAGTCTTAGAAGGACTGGTAGTGGGAATGAATGGGGTGTCATGTGAGTGAAGCTGGAAAAGGAGGGAGGGACAGACCAGCAGGGTCTTCTAGAACATTCAGGACTTTGGTCTTTACTGTCCTAACAGTTTACCATCTTGGATTATTTTAAGAAGGAAGATAATAGGATTAGATATAAATTTTAAAAGATGTCTCACTGTATTGTGTTGAATGAATTGGATTAAGCTTCCTTTTTTAAAACGTAAGGATGGATATACTTGCCTTGTGTATCAGGCATTTCATTAGAGTGACCAATTCCACAAGGTACACAGAAACATTTCATAAAACTCAAATGACACAGAAAATATACAGTTATATCTTATAGGAAACACGACCACCAGAAGTTCATATTCTTTTGGATTTCCTCTATGAACAAAGACACTGTGAACTCATGAAATAAGTCTTTTGTTTATGTTACTGGGCTTCCTTCACCAGGGTAACTAGTCCTCAGGGTGCTCACTGAAGAGCAGGAACTTCCCTGGCTCTCTCACTCTTTCTGTTCTGCTTTCTCGCAAGCACATCTGACGTGCTGCCCACAGTCCAGGCCTGGCTCTACACCCATGAAAAGTTGCCAAGTATAAAGCTTCCCAAGCATGAGATGGATGCTGGGATGTCTTCGCCTGAGAAGCAGGATAAAGACAATTTAGTGGGTATGTTCCTCTCTCCTGTTTTAAGCACGTTAATGTTACAGAGGAAGGAAAGCAGGAATTGTAGCTTAGAGTTACAGAGTAAGCATGGGGTATAGGTATTGAAATTGGCTCCAATTCCATTTAGAGCCCATGATTTTGGATTCCTTGCTTATGTTGGTTCTATTTGCTTCTTGAGTGACCATCTATAATTTGCTCCTTCTCTTCATTTTGAGATGGAATTGATGTTTGTCTTTGCATTCCTTTTTTTTCACATTAAATAGCAAAGATATATTAAAGATGTATTCAAATACATCTGGCGATGCTATGATTAAGAAAAAGCTGGTTTGAGTTTCATCATGTTTGATAAATGGAGAGAAATTGTGGAAAATGAAACCCAGCCCCTAAGTACCAACTGCTACCTTACATACTATTAAATATTAGAGAATAGTTTGCTTATGTTATGTTTTCAAATCTTATAGTACTTCTGAAGTAGATCCTCTTATAATCTGACTTTACAAATGAGAAGACTGAGTCTTAGAGGGTTTAAAAACTTGAAGGTCCAGCCAGGCACAGTGGCGCACACCTATAATTCCAGAGGCTTGGGAGGCTGAGGCAGGAGGACCACAAGTTCAAAGCCAGCCTCAGCAAAAGCAAGGTGCTAAGACAACTCAGTGAGACCCTGTCTCTAAATAAAATACAAAATAGGGCTGGGAATGTGGCTCGGTGGTCGAGTGCCCCTGAGTTCAATCTGTGGTACCAAAAACCCCAGAAAAACCTTGAAGGTCCGAAAACCATGATGATGGTGTTGATGGTGTGCACATGTGCATATGTATCTAATGCAAACTTTATACCTTATGTGACCAAAAAGTCGTAGTCAGAAATTGAGAACACATTTATTATTATTAATTTATAAAAGAAAAAGTGTACTTTAAAGACATTTACGCTGGGGCTGGGGATGTGGCTCAAGCGGTAATGCGCTTGCCTGGAATGCGCACAGTGCTGGGTTCGATCCTCAGCACCACATACAAATAAAGATGTTGTGTCCGCCGAAAACTAAACAATAAACAGTTAAAAAATTCTCTCTCTCTCTCTCTCTCTCTCTTAAAAAAAAAAAAAAGACATTTACGCTGTTGAAATAAATATAACTAGACTGATACGCTGCAGGCAGCAGATACCACCTGGAAATGGTAGTGGAGGTGGAGGTCTCTTCCAGGATACCCTTTGTCATCTTTTTAAACAAGATGTTCCTTGAGACAGTAAAATTTCCATTCTAACAGGTTAAGACAGTGGCTGGGAAGATTGCATGATTGAAGTTGCATCACCAGTGAGATATTTGAAAGCATTCGTAAGTTTTCTTGGTTTTGATCTTTTAATATAATGAAAAATTTGCACTATGGCAGAAAAACCAGGACTAGGACTTCTAGTTTACAGTTTACAGTTTCCTGTGCTTTGGATCATTTGACCATTCTCTGAGGTTTGTGGAATAAGTTTGCCCTCACTTTCCTCCAACTAGGATGCACTAGACAGTCCTCTACATAGTACGGAAATTCCTACTTGCAGGTGATGAGGGAATTAAATGAGAACTGAGTCCTTGCCATCACCCCCAGCAATGGTCTTACCAGTAGTTTGCTGCTGTCATGTGCCAGCTTTAAAAACGACCCATGCCAGGTGCACTGCACATGCCTGTAATACCAGCAGCTTGGGAGGCTGAGGCAGAAGGATCTCAAGTTCAAAGCAAGCCTCAGCAAAAGTGAGGTACTAAGCAACTCAGTGAGACCCTGTCTCTAAATAAAAAACACAAAATAGGCCTGAGGAGGTGGCTCAGTTGTCAAGTGCCCTTGAGTTCAATCCCCAGTACCCCCTACTAAAAACAAAACAAAACAAAACAACAACAACAAAAAACAACACTAATGCACATCTCTAACTTCAAGTTCATGATATCACAAGGGTGCATTAGAATCAACTGGTGCTTGGGGGCTGCGGGGTGAAGGTGTCATTTACATGATTAGAAGTGCCTACAAATGAGGGCTGCCCCATCCCAGTAACCATATTGTTAAACATTTCCTAGCACACTGCTACTCACTAGTTTTTGACATTCACTCCTGCCCCCTTTTTTTCAAAGTGAAATTAATTGGAATCTAGAATACCCAAGTGACTTCCCGTGGAGCTTGTCTAAATGCAAACTGGTCCCTCTGTCCTAAAAATTCTAGTACTCTAGGTCCAGCTGGGTTTGAGATCCTGCAACTAAACCAGCTCCAGAGAAGTTGCCAGAGCCTATGCTTTGTGACCACTGTATTTCTTTTAATTTTGAACTTTCCTGAAAAATGTTCTTTTTTGAAATAGGTTCATACCTATTTCAGAGAAAAACACAAGAGGGAAAATGAATTTCAGATGATGAAAAGAAAGTGTTTACCCCTAGGGTTTTACTTAGATTTTATGTTTGATGCTCAAAACCCTTGATTCTCAGCAGAAAGAACCAGAAAGATGCTGAATTCTATTGCCAGTTTAATCTTCACAGGATTGAAGGTGAATAGAGAGAATTGTTAATACACCTTCCCAAATCCAGGGAAGGTGATTGTTTCACTCTGAACACTTTCTATTTTTCTCCAGGAAATAATCTGATCTTCTCTTTTCTGCAAACACACACAAATTTTTTTTTCACTTGACATGCTTTTTATTTTGAATTTACTTTTAAAAATTATATTAAAGGGCTAGGATTGTGGCTCAGCGGTAGAACGCTCGCCTATCACGTGTGAGGCCCTCGGTTCGATCCTCAGCACCACATAAAAATAAATAAACAAATAAAGGTATTGTGTACAACTAAAAAAAATATTAAAAAATTATATTAAAAACCCAGAAAATTCAGAATTATAAACCTATCAAAAATTAAGAAAACTCAAAAAAAAAAAAAAAAGAAAGAAAGAAAACTCAGAATCACTGTATTCCCACCACTCAAAAATAACCACGTTTCATATTTTGGTTAATTTTCTTCTAAAATTCTTTCTATGCATGCATGTATTGCTATAATTGGGGTCTTACTGGCCATAAAATCTTACTACCTAAAATTCGACTACATGTTTCTCTTAACATTTTACCATAATGATTTTCCCATGTTTTTTTAAAACTTTAAAGCAATTATGCATAACATGAAACTGTGTGTGTGTGTGTGTGTGTGTGTGTGTGTGTGTGTGTCAGGGGTCACTTAATTATCCCACCATTGTTGTGCTCTCCAGGTGTTTTCGACTTTACTGCCGGTGGAAATGACACCATCATGAGAATATTTAAGCTTAAATCTTAAGGACAAAGTGCTTGTACTTGTTGTTAGCAGTGCTGTTATTTTAGAGAGGACTGGAAGTGTGGGGAGCATGGGGACAGTGGAGAATGATGCAAGGAAAACATTTTCTCTTTATTGTCTTCTCATAATGATGTGGGGGTGCGGGGACAGAGAGGGAGAAAGCATGACGGAGAAAATTCAAGGGCATACGGTTCTCAGCTTAATTGACTCTCTTGGGAGAAAACAGAATCTCGTCTGATGGATCATTATTTCCAGACAAGAGCAGTTCAAACTCTATTATGTTACTGAGCGTTATTCTGAGACTTCAAAGTGGGTACACGGGCACCGTTCACTTCTCTTGTATGGCATCTACTGTGGGTGAGGAGGGGAAGACATAAAAATAAAACACCTACCTTCAAAGCACTAAAAATGTATAGGGAAGACACAGGAGTTAACGAAAAATGACAATGAAATAGGAAAAGGGATGACAGAGGTAGGCTCAGAAATTAAAAGGGGGCATCCAAGGGTGGGGATGAGAGTCACCTTCCTAGGAAAGAAAGTGATGTAAGTTGAGCCCTGAGGCTAGGTGACATAGGGGAGAATGTGGGATGCAAGAGGGGGGCTGGGGACCCAAAGGCAAAAGGATAAATATGTGCGAAAACCTGAATGTCCTTCTCTAGTCATGTTAGCATGTTAGCTGGGTCACTGGACCCATAATGGAGACCACTGTGATCCCTGCCACCTGAGAATCTGATTTCTTGCTGTGCTAAGAGCCTGTGTGTCAAGCCTGGTCTCTAAGTGGCAGCCTTGGGGTTGTAGCTGCATTGGGCTGGAAAGAATGGAAATCATAAAAAGGGAGCTGTGGGGCATGACTGGGAGACGGATGCTGGGGAGACGGGTGCTGGGGACCGGGCTATACGAGGGGGTTTGCACTTTGTGGACAATGCTTAAATTCTTAAGCTGGGTGGTGGGTATAAGGCATTAACTGCATTATTTTTATAATTTTTTGAATGTTCTATTTCAAAATATATCCTAAGTATTTCTTTATAAAGAGACCAAATGGTGAAAGGCAATCACAGTGGATGATATGTTTTCATCCACTGTGAAACCGTATGTTTCAACTGCCTAGCACAGATTCTGGAACTGAAATGTACATCTTTTAGAAGACTCTCAGGATAACATCATATTGTGTTCTCACAGGGCTAGCCTGGATGATAAGATCACCATCCGCCTCTGATTTAGTAGCTCTGAACCAAAGACTTGGTTTTCCTGCATTTTTTTCTTTCTTTTCTGTTTTTTTGTTTTGTTTTTGTTGTTGTTGTTGTTTTGTTTTTGAGACAGGGTTTTCCTAAGTCGCTCAGGGCCTTGCTAAGTTGCTAAGGCTGGGTTGGAACTTGAAATTCTCCTACCTCAGCCTCCTGAGTCACTGCCTCTCTGCATTCTTTCTTAAGGTTCCAAAAGTTCTCTGAAAGTGGTTGAAATGTCAGTAGCTAGGTTACTTCAGTGGATAAAAATCCTCAGCAATCTAAATGTTTCATTGTATATTATTGAAAATTTAGTTCTTGCACATACATAAGAACCATTACCCCACAAAGAAAGCGGCGGCACAGAGAAGGCCAAGGGCTGAGAAAGGGGAACGCTGTGGAAGTATATAGTCTGGAATTAGATATTGGTGTGGCTGCACAACATTGTGAATCTACGAAAAATCACATAAGTACACAACTTCAAAGGGTCAGTTTTATTGCAC